CTTTCCATGGAGCTCAAATGCTTGCCCAGGTTATGCATAAGCTGTATTTCACTCACAGATCTCTTCCTAGAGGAAACAGAATCAGAGAGGATCACTCCATTAGCTCCCCTCTTCCAAATCATAAAGCCAACCTTAAAAATCCAATTCCCATGCCCTCACCATGCAGAACAGGCTATGGTACTTACTTAACAGACTTCCCTTCCAATCTTGCAAGAAAACAAACCGCGAACATGACAACCATTACTTTAACCATGTCTTTTGCAGACATCATCTTCACTAAAAGAAAAAGCAAAATGGAGGCATTTAAAATATTTTTAATATTCCAAACAATACAATTAAATTTATAGTAGTTTATATTTATAATCATACAACTTTGTACAGAGTGTGACAGTAACTAATTGGATTGTTTTTCATGAGAGACTTTTGGAATCAGCCTCTTTATTTTAAAGTACATATAAGTATATATTATATATACAGATGATTAGTATATATTATGTATACACACAATTTGACTTAGAAATTAGACAGATTAGCTTTCCTTTCTTAGGTATCTTTTTGATAGTTCTTGTGCAAGTTTTAATATATGAATTTAAGCTACATGAAGAATGAAAAACCTTACTGTTTAGAATTTCCTCCCACATTTTGTGTTATGACTAAATACACAAGAAGCTTGAAAATGGCTACTTCTTTTTTATTTATTTATCTATCTATCTATCTATTTATTTATTTATTTATTTATTTATTTATTATTTTGGCTGTGCTGGGTCTTAGTTGCAGCACGCAGGATCCTCGTTGCAGCATGTGGGATCTTTAGTTGCGGCATGCCTGCAGGATCTAGTTCCCAACCAGGGATCCAATGCAGGGCCCCCTGCATTGGGAGCGCAGAGTCTTACCAACTGGACCACCAGGGAAGTCCCTACTTCTTTTAATTAGGTAAATTGTCAACAGTGTTTGTTGACTTAGCAAATCTCTTTTTCATAAGTAAACTTCCTTTCAACGCAGTGATAAACATAAATGCCAAATGAATAGGCTCTGATTTAGAGATTTTTACTAAATTAACACACACTTCTCCTACTGTTAAAAAGAATGTGTCAAAGCATTTAAACATCATCTAATTAATTACTTGTTATATGAATTTAGAGCTTTGACTCCATATTAAATGCCTGTCTGTATCTTATCTTTTCAGCTTATTTTATTAACAATTTTGTTTGAGTATAATTTTTAGTACTTTCCTCTTTTGCTTTTAAGCTTTTCATCTCAAAATAGAAAAGTCTTACTGTAATCTGCATTTTAACAATTGCAAAGCCTTTTATCATAGACATGCTTAATACTTAACGTTCTCCACGTTCTCCGTTTTAACATACACATAGGGTGGCTATGGACTCATATTTTAAAGGGAAACTGCATCATTTAGAAGTAGCATAAGGAGCATTATAATCTACTATATTTATTTTCACTGTGCAGTATAAAGCTATTGAAGGAGGAACAAATGAATATTCTTCATTTTTGGTTTGTGTTAGAAACAATCATTATAGCCAGAGGACAGAAGCTTTGGTGTCCTATTCTAGCTTTGTCACATTCACCAAACGCCTCTGCCTTGCTTCCTTGTTCTTAATAGAGAGATGAGGTTCTTACAAGCATGTCATTTAAAAAGCTGAAAAATGGTTGTAAAACATCCTTAAAATTCATGTACAGTTTTCAGAATAGAAAATTAGAAAAGGCTTTATGTAAAGGGAATAAATATTCAGCCGTAAAACTGAGTTTCTCCAACTATAGTACACAGATTGAGCTCTCTATGGGGATATTCTGGAGGAAAAATGGAATTTTAACTCAGAGAAATAAATTTACATTGATTATTTAAATCAGAATTATTCATTTCTCATTAGGCTGTTTTATTTCAAAATTTTAATAAGATACCATTAAAGCACATCAGGCCAAATTTTAATTATTTTTCATGTAATTTCACATGAGTTTATAAAAAGCAAGGCCTCTCAAAAGATTTTAACCACAAAAATAAATGATTTAACAATATTTTAGTAGCATAAATTTATTTTTTATTACAGCATTTTTAGATTAAATATCATTCAAACCCTCTCTTAACATTTTACCTTGAACGAGCAGCATGACATTGTAGAAAATGGTACACATTAAATAATTGCTTTATCATAAAAAAGAACTCATATGAAATTTAAAAGAGAAATAAAGACTACTCACCACACAATGTCTTAGGACACGATCTTCTTTCAGGTGTATTAGCAGCTGATGCTTTCTCAAAGTTGAGTAAACCTGAGAAAGCTGATGAATTGAGTTGTAGACCCTTAAATGTGACTTTTATATATAGGTCTTCCACACACCAAGAGAAGCTTTTTTATTGTTACGGATGACGTCACTCCCAATTCTCTGAATTTTAACTATAGGATCAGAGCAGCACACACACTCCCATGGGGCGGTGCTCATTCCTCTTAAATTTTAGATAATTGGATATTAAAAGGAAAACAGTGTGGGGCTGGGAAAAGGATTTATGCAAAGATTTCTAACAAATAGTGAATTGTAATTCTGACTGGATTAGTGAATTTATATTACAAAAAAGACTGACTTCAGAGATTTATGGTAAATTCATCACTTATTTGAAAGCACAATCTGAAAATAAGTATATTTCTTATAACCATAATATTGGCACAATTATTATGAGGATTATAATGAATCATATTACATTATGCTTACTTTACAAGCCATATACAACCAATCCATATCATTCCTGATCATCTTTCAAAAAAATAGGTATAGTGCTTTTCTTAAAGGAAGTGTTAAAAATGTTTTGAGAATATGCTCTTAGTACATAATTAATTTGAAAGGCTTCCAAAGTGAAATTACTTTAAAATTCATTTAACTTACATTTATCTCTTTTTATTTTAATTTGCAATAAAAATATTTGAAAAGCAGTAACTGTATGCCAGACTTTACATATATCATCCCACTAAGTCTTCACAGCAATCCTTTAAAGTAAATACTATTATCTTCACATGAGGAAATTGAGGTTTGGAAAATGAAGAAGATGGAGTTCAACAAAGGTCTTTATGATTCCAGAGCTATTTTAATTCTTACTACCTCAGTTTCCCCTTAGAAATGTAGCCCTTCTTTGAAGCCCAGTCTTCCTGACTCTAATTTGCCTAACCCTTTGCAGACTCTTTGCTAGGAGTTGGGTCTTGTTTCTCATGTTCCTCACCTGGTGATGGAGGGCCTGCTCCAAAACCTAATAGAGGCAAGATGTCACCACCTGTCTAATTTCAAATATTGCTACAGCCTTGTCCCCATCTATCGATCAAAACCCCTTGAATCCCCTTGGTATATCTAGGGTTCGTTTAGGCAGCTTGCATCCCAACTAAAGCCCCAGAATTGGATCAGTTCTCTTAGCTCTGCTCCTACCCAGGCTTCATGTTATCCTCTTTCCTGCTAACTCTTGCCAAGCTTTGACTCTACATCAAGTAAGAGACAGTCCAAATTTCAAATACCTGTACAGAGGCCAGAATGAAAGAGATGTGTTAGTGCTGTTCTGAGAATTCCTCTACACTGAGCAAATCTCATTTGCAGTAGTGTTCCAGGCTCCCTTTCAGAAGTCTTAGAGACAAACTGCAACGTGTCTGGAGGATATGAACCAGGTTGGTGAAAATGTTGATAAACATGACATATCAGAAGGAGCTGAATCAAACTGGAAAAGTCTGCAAAAGAAAAGACTTGGGATGATGATGTAGCTGTTTTTAATTCTTTACAGGGCTTCTATAAGAAAGAAGGAATATCTTCTGTGGTTTAAGAAGGAAGGACTGGGCTTCCCTGGTGGCGCAGTGGTTGGCAGTCCGCCTGCCAATGCAGGGGACACGGGTTCGTGCCCTGGCCCGGGAATATCCCACATGCCGCAGAGCGGCTGGGCCTGTGAGCCATGGCCGCTGAGCCTGCGCGTCCGGAGCCTGTGCTCCGCAGCGGGAGAGGCCACAGCAGTGAGAGGCCCGTGT